GACAACTCAGGGCAAATTAGACCAACTGCACCCACAAAAATAATGTTGAAGTCTGCATGCAACAGCTCATGCATCACTGCTGCCCTATGCTCACCACTCACTCCTCTTCTGTCCTAGAAAAACCTTTGACTTGCATGAACACTGACGATTAGGGGGTCTCCCTTCCCTCAGTCTCCAGATGGACTGTATTTCTCACCAGGTTTTCAGCCCAAGGTTGAATTGCAGCCTCCTTTCTCCGTGGGGAATAGGCCAGAGGGTTTTGGGGAAGACTGAGGTTCACCCATGAAGCCTGTCTCAAAGGAGACAACCTTGAATACCACCTTGGATACTCTACGAGCCTCCACTGCTTTTCCACAGGGAAAATATTTTTAATCTGAAATGTTCCAGTTTAATTTCTACCAAGAAACAGCTTTTGGAGCAAATAAAAATTTTCTGTGGGTTTTTTGTGCCTTTTGTTTGTTTTTTTTGTTGTGTTTTGTTTGGGATTGGGGTTTTTTGTTGTTGTTTCTAAATGTTATTTTATTCTCCTTTGTCTAGATTCATTTTATTACTTCATCATACTTTGCAAAGCCACCTTCAGTACATCATAACCATGCATTAGATAATGATCTAGCTGTACTCATGTTTTGCTGTTTTCCTGGCTAGTTTAAATGGATGTTTTGATTCCTGGCAAATTCACAAATTAGGTGGCAAGGGGTAAATATGCAGTACTTAACATGCAAAGCAAAATCAAGGACATGTTGATCTTGGTTTGGCTTTGCAGTCAGCGTAAACAAAGTCCTGCAACTTCCATAAAGGAAAGCTAAAAATTAAAGACTATGATTTCTTTTTTTTTTTTTTTGGTCCAGTGGAGATTTTGCGGCTCCCTGTGCTGGGGTTTAACTCCTTCCTGTTGCTGCTTAGGCAATTTCTTTCATGTTCAGTCACGTTTATGGAAAGAGCTATCATCCCATCCAACCTGACCTATTCACCTTCTTTCCATAGAAATAGAGCACAGGTTACGATAAGTGAAAAAGATCCAGTAATCCTGCCTTGTCCTCTTCCTGGTAGTGCTGAATTACATCCTATAATCTTTCTTCCAGGGCAGAACCTATTATTTGAAAAGATGGGACACACAGCAGATACTACAAGTTTTACTGACCCAGCACATTGTCCTCCGTGTCGTGAATTAATTGGCTGCTACAGATAGTTTATTCCTTTCTCTCACGGAAATTACTATCCAAGACCTGCATGGTCAACACCTGCTTCTTCTTAAGATGGTACAAACTGTCTGTTAATTGAGCACTTGGGTGCACACAGTACCTGTACGTGACACTGGTGAGGGGGTAGCTGATTTCTGTTCTGGAGCACCCATTCTCCATTTGATTTTATCCTGTCCAATGTAACTAAGGAAACTCACCAAAACCTCTGACAGTTTTTGACCTCAAGTTGGGATAGTGACTTCTGCAGTCTAATATACACTCCTCCACTAAACACTGAATTTATCCTGGTTTGATTTTTAGATAGAAATGTGGTAGAGATATGGCCCTTCCACGAATGAAACTAATTTGCTTCTTTTTCCAGAAAATAACAAACCACAGCAGATACTTTCTGCTGTACCTCTTTGTCTATAGCTCTAATCCATCTGGAAAGCAGAGCAGCATCAGTCCCACCTTTGGAAGGAGATGCCAAGGAAAGGAGCTACTGGTTCACCCTCAGCAGAGCTATGTAAACAAGTGGGCAGCCTGTGCTTGGCAGGGGTAGGAAGTAGAAGAGACAGGTAGGTATATCCTTGAGGGCTAGAAAGTTATTTGGAGAAGAGGTCCTGTTAGGTGACTAACAGAAAAGAGGCAAAAAAAGTTGGTTTTGTTTTGTGATGACTTGTGCAATTATTCCTTCTGCTAGAAAATTCAGTAGGGACAAGTATAAAAAGAGGAAGGCAAAAGGAAGAACAACCAGTCTCCTTTGGGATAAGAGTGAGGAGGGCATGGTAATTATCATGCATGGCATAGCATCCAGGGTGTGAATACCAAGCACATCTGAAGATGAAGAGCTAGTTCTTGTTGTCCTTTCTCCCCATGACAAGGGTCAGGACCGAGCAGAAACACGTGACGTGGGTCATGTTCATGGCAGAAGAGCAGAAAGCTGCAAGGGTACGTGAGGGCAGTCAGGACTTGGCACCAGGACCCATCACCCAATAAGGAAATGCTGTTTGCAACTAGCAAAAGAAGGCAGGAGCTGGCAGCCAGTGCTGCCTGTTGAAACCAGCTCCCCATTCTTCTGCAGATGGGGTCTGCAGAAAGCAGGAACACTCCTGCAGCCTTCATGCCACTTTCCTTGGAACAAAGTATTGGGGCACCCAGGAGGGTGCACAAGGAAAGCAGCCATTTACTGGTACTGTTATTTGCACTGTGATTTGGTACCTAGCTGGTCTGGGAATACTGGCACCAAGGACCAGACAGTGGTTTGGACTCCTTTTAGTTAGTTGGGGAAAAAAAAGCCAACCAAGGCTGTGTGCAAGGCAGTTTCTGAGCAAAGGAATCACGAGCACCTGCTCTGGCTCTGCCCTCCCTTCTCCTACCACACTGGCTGTGACTGTGCCTCTGCACAGGCATCTGATGGACCTGGCATCTCATGTTTTAGAGAATAAACCTAAGTAAAGGAAGGAAAATTAAAGGAATTATTTTTTTTAAGTGGGGAATAGAGGACAGCAGTATGTGTTATTCTACTCGGATTTACAGCAGGCTGTTTAGCTTCTAGAGTGAGGCTTACTTGTACCATGGCCTGAATTTTTTCAGAGAAATAGGCCTTGTTTACAGCTCCTTGGGGAGGGGTGCACATAGTTTTGCTCTATCCACACAAGTGATCTCCAGAGATCACAGCAAGCTGGTGGTAGATCTAGACCTGGCTCCTGTGCATGTCCTACTCACTAGACTGGTTCCCTTTCCTTAGGGTAGCAACCATGCAGGGTCTAAAAGAACTGAAATACTGAATCACCAGACATAACCTAAACCCTGAAGCACTTAAAACAAATACACTATACTACTACAACCATTCGATCCCACAGCTCCCATCCCGTAGATGTCAGCCTCAGGATTGCTCTCACAGCATGACAGGGCTGCCAAGAACCTTGCTGGCAGTTAGTCCTTGGGCTGCACTGGGCGGGCTCCTGCTAAGCTGCCTCCCCTTCTGCATGTAGGACCAGAAACCCCCTGGGGATCAACACAACCAACAAGAGGAACCATATGAAGATGAGAGGTCTAGCCCACACCGGCAGCTCATTTCTCACACACCCCTAAGCTCTGATTTGGGTTAATTACCAGACTACCAGATTTCTGCCTTAACCACAACCACCAGATGCACCTCAGATGAAACCCAGACCCTTATACAGTTTCCCAGAACTTCCTTTCAGCTCAGACACCACCTCACTCAGCAAGTCTCTGGTCACCTGGTAGATGTACCATGAAATTACAGTTATTACATTTCCCCTCTTCTTTCCCATCCATCTAGTCTGCTTAGGCAGCTTGCTCACCTCTGTTTTGGCAGTGTTATCAGAAAAGCACCCAAGGGTAAATAAGTACAAGCACTAAGATACAAGTGTCAAGATATATGGGGTACCTAATATATCATTTGTGGGTGAAGGTAGCTTGCTTCCCAAACACACATCCATCTCCCAGTAGAAGAAGAAACCAGGAGACATCTAGTTTCGTCTTTTTTTTCCTCCTCTCATTTTTCTTTACCTTACTGAAGGGCCCAGCTGATTTTTGTCATTTGTCCTTGTTTATGGTAGTGGGTAACACCAACCCTTAGCAGAGGGCTGAGAAAAGCACAGTTACTACCTTCTCCCCCTGGCGTCTCATCCTCTGCCTTTCCCGTTGGAACACACTGTGGTATTGTGTCCTGCCCTGGCATGGGTGGCTGCATGGAGATGCCACTGCCATCCAGATAATCAGCGATTATTGCTATGACAGTGTCTGAACATCACTACTCAGAGGAAAATTTGGGTTGTTTATTAGGCCATGGTGGTTTCTGAGAGCACAAACTGGGATTGGGCTCCCTTATCCCCAAAGTCCAGACACGAGGAAGTAAGTCCCTTGCACCTGTCAGTGAGCCTTATTGCCAGCAGAGAGGAGCTGTATTTGATTATTATTTTTTTTAAACAGCTCAGTAGATCATGTCAGCAGACAACAATGTGCTCACTCCACAAGACACAGAATTTGACAGGCAAAACAACCTGCCAGTTACTTATCATTAGTGCAAATGACTGATTTTTCGGTTCACCGGCAGTTCAGAATAATCTGAAGGTTTTATTTTGAGTCAAACTGAAGAATATTTTTTTTCCAGAACTTTCAGCTCACCTTGATATTTTACATTTCTACTCCAATGTCTTTTAAATAAAACTTTTTATTATCTTCTAAAAACTGGAAGAAAAAAAAAAGTGGGATGCTTCATTTGGTCCAAAACTATTCCTATTAGTTTAACTTCCAGTCTTAAAAAGCTGGGAGGAGGGGTTGTGTGTGGATTCAACAGCAAATATTTCTCCCAGTAAAGAGAAAACTATGGTCAGTTGAAACCCCATATTTTCCCTGAACAAAGCCTTCTTATGAAAATTTCAGAACAGCCTTATCCTGCTTCCCCCCCCTTCCCCTGCCCTCCCCTGTCAGGTTGCAAAGCCCTTCACCCACATCTGTTTTTTGTAGGCTCAGAGATCATAAGTCAAAAGGGAAAGAGCTGCTCATTTTCCATCACTCTCATCCCTCGCTCCCAACAGTATCCAAGGTCTTTTGCACATCAGTGAATCCCATTCTGCCTCATCCCTGACTATTTCAGCCATCCAGAGCCAGCCTTATGCCATCCACTGGCTTGGAAATAAAAACACATTTAAGAGTCAACCAAGGGGAAAAAAAAAAGAAAAAAAGCAGTAGGTGTGCAGGCCAACCCTGCAGGTGATTCTGCAATTGAGTCTTGGCTCAGGGCAGTAAGCGTTAGTGACTTTTAATTTCCTCTGTCCCCAGGCATCCTGGATAATATCACTCAGATAGCACCGATTCAACTCCTGACCTGGCAGACAGTGCTGGGTGTCCCACCGTGCTCCATTGAGTGCACTAAGCCTCACATAAGCCCACTAAGCCACTGGGCTACTTTGGTGAGTCATTTAATAACACTGAACATGCTTTCCCCTACAACTTTGCAAGGAGGGGAGGAATCTACTGCAGGGAATTAAAGACCCCCAAACAAATTTTAAACACAAATTGAATTTTTTAATTGGACTGGAATGCTGAAGCATATTCAGATCTTGACCTCAAACCAGATCAGGAAGGAGAAGTAGGCAGTCAGTTGTCTCTGGAGGTTTGTAGGGTCACAGGTGCCTTTAATAACTGATACTGCAAGTTAATAGCTTGGTTAGGGATGGGAATAGACTAAGGATGATATCAAGGAGTTGAGTTTTAGTCCAGCTTGCTTCGAAACAAAAGCTAATACCACAGGATGATCACAATGGGAACAGGAGGTTGGAAAGACTCACGGATTAGTATATTTAAGCTCTTGCTATTGTAGACTTTCTCTTCTTGTAATTGTGACAATTTTTTTTAAGTTTGTCAAGCCACATCCTTATGCAGGACATTCTTGCATTGATTGCTCCTACTGGGAAGCAATTTCAAAATCTGAGTGTTAGAAACTTTCTCCTAATTAGCAGCCCAGGACTCTGTGGTTAGCAAATGATATTCTCCTTTAGTTTTAGTAGCTACTCTTCTCGTCTCTTTAGAGGAAACTCACCAAGAGGGTCCTGACCTGAATAGCAGCGAGGAACAAATTATATTTGTTCCAGGCTTGAGAGGACAGATATCAATCGAATGCTGGATCATGACCACAGTTTTAGTTGATGCCTATTGATCAACTGTTGGTTACCCTGAAAAAAAAGAAGTGTTGAACCATTATTTGGTAGCTGCACTGCTACCTTGCACTGCCTTTCATTTTATCCCTATTCTCTGCCTCAGCTGCACATGGGTGCACATTTCCAAAGGTGTCAAAGTTTGCTGAACCAAGTTGAAAGTTCGCACACAGCTTTGAGAATTGCAGACTCCAGGCAGGATCTCAGATCTAAGTCTCCAGTTCATCACCTGCTGAAGGATCAACATAAACATATTTGTAATTGTCTGAGAGCCACTGGGTTGCAAAGTACTTAAGCATTTGGCTGCTACTGAGAGTCCTACTCTGATGTTTATTCAGACCACCCACCTCTCCAATTTGCAGACAACAGGAACCAGGAGCATTTGGCATTTTTGAGCATCTTCGATCTGTTAACTGACATTTTCTGAAGATGAAAACCTTTGGGTTGACTGCTCACGAGAGAAAGCCCCCTAACCCCCAGACAATTCCTGCATGGGCCTTGGCAGTGGGCCCAGACAACTTCAACAAGCTTTGAGCATGACTTATAGCACTATCTGAGACAGTGAAGAAAGCAGAAACTCCCATGACAGCATTCACATTCAGGTCTTGTTGATGAAACTACCAGACACCAATGCCAAAAACAGCAGAGATTATTTTTTACCATGTGGGCTTCAAAATTCACATCAACAGGCAGAGTAGCATCTTTCACATAGTTCCTTAAAACACCTCTATGCCACAAGCCTATTCCTCACACCCACCTGGCAGCAGGCTCACCCATGGCAAGGCACAACTTCCTCCTCATTTCATCCTCCTCCAACACTCCCATTTGCGTTTTGTCCACTTGTTGCATCCTGTCTAATTCCTGTTCAGGCGTTCATCAGGGAGGGGAAGGTTGTTTTTGCTATTTGCCTGTGCTGCACCCAAAGTAATGAGCCCAGAACCTTTATGTGATCTCCTACCTGATAGTCTGATTTAAGGTGGGACTACAGGGAAGAGTTTCCTTTCTTCAGCCTTGACAACCAAGTGGGAAACATACAATTTCAGCAAAACAAAGATAATTGGGAAACCTGCTTCAGGGTCTGTCCAAAACATTTAATTTGACAAGCAGCATTCTAGGGTTGGAGTTACTTAACTTTGCCCTCCCTCTTTCCACACTTTCAAACCAAAGTTCTGCACATCAAAAATATCCTTTTGAAACAGAAGTCAAAATGCTGTCTGCAAGCCACGGGAAAATATTTGATGTCAACATCCCTATTCTTCCCTTGACCAAAACTCAAACCATATTTGACACTAAGGAGCAAACAGGCTGAGCCTTTCAGAAGCACTTTTGGGCCCAATTTACTACTCATTCACAAACTCTAACCAGCTCTTCACGCAAAGCAACACAACCACAACTTCAGGTCGTTTGTGACCTTGGCCTTATTCAAAACAAATGAGAGCCTAATGCTTACAGATTTTAAGTCCTAATCCGCAAACATCCAAACCCTCACTTTGTTTGCTCAGTATTAAAAAAATATGGGTTTTACTTTCTTTTTTTCCTTGCGTCTCTTTTCAAACAAATCCTTCCTGCCTTTGGACAAGCTGACATTGTGTGTGTCCTTGAGTGCGTTCAAAAGCAAGGCAGAGCGTTCCTTTCTCATTACATGGCTTGGCTTATCAGCCCAGAAAAGGTTTGGGTTTCAGGTGTGGCTCCGTGCCAGGTGTGACTGGCCACACACCATTCACGCAGCACCAGAGGGTACCAAGCATAGATAGGCTTACAGACTGTTCTTTATCACAAGCACCAGGAAACTCTGCTCTCACCTGCTGATCCTCACAGACAAGCAAACGGCCTGTAGCCTCAGAAGATGGATCAGGAGGAATTAAATTATATTTAACAGGTTGATTGAGTGATATGATATGATATGATTTACCCACAGAAAGCAGGAATAGATCCTCAGCTGTATTTTTGTTTCACTGCTTGCTGCTCTATAGCCACAATCCATAGAGAAGACAGGCTGGTAAAACTGGGGTAAGGTATTTGCCTCTTCTAGTGTGTTATTAAGGGCATTAATGCAGAGATTTTACCTCTGAAAGTGGACTGGAAATTATTTAAAAGAGACAGATCAACAAGGAAATTCCTAGACAATGTGATGAGCTGGTGTGCTAGATTATGCCACTGCAGAGGGTCTGCATCCTAGGATACCCAGAAAAACAGGACTACCTTGAGTCCATTGAGGTGTCCTCTTATTGCACACAAGTAACAACAAACTGATAACTCAGCTTTCACCTTTTAATTTTGAAACTGCATACTCTATTTACATATAAATGTAAAATACTCTACATGTGAACATTTTTCTTTAATGTCTCACAGTGAAAATGGACTCCATATGCTGTCTGGATGTTCAACAACCCCAAGACCTTCTACCATTCTTTCTTGTGCCACTTTGCATTTATCTAATACTTTATGAAGTTACTCAGAGGTTACTACTAGAATCATTCAGAACATGCATCTCCAGTAGGATTTGTAATGAACAGTCCACATCTCTTCCACCAGTGAATCATTAAAACCCATGCCCTGGTGTTCTTCAGTTGCCCAAACAGTTGTCTCTTTGACTGGTTGACATTGCCAAACCAGCTGGAGTGTATTGAAAAGTGGTGCCTCTCACCAAGAAGGTCTTTCTCCTAGCAGACCAGCTCTTGCAAAAAAGAGGGACGGGTGGAGATGGTAGAAAGAAGCAGTTCCTCTGGAGACGTGGTGCGTGTAAGGAGATTGCAAGCTTTGAGAGGGCAGTGCAGCCACTGGTAACTTTTCTAAGCTCCTAGCAACCCTTGCACTGAGAGTTAAGTGTCTCTGTACTCTGGAGAAGCTGCAAACATTTGCAGGCTCTAGGTAATTCCTGAGCAGGTAGCATTGGCTAGTTAATTATGCCCTGCAGCTCTTCACTCACGGAATTAATCCATAGCCCTGAATTCACAGTCTGACTTCATTCCCCTGATTCACAGCCTGGACAGAGTTCTTACAACAGGGGAATCTCAGGTGCCTGGTGCTTCTGGTGCAAGTTTTCAGGTGACATGCCAGTTTAGCAACACCTTCAGGATTTACCAGTGTTTTCACAGGAGGAGGTCCTGAGTACTGAGATGGTTACCTAGTCCCTTCCCACATCTTGAAGCAGATTTAGCATTCCCTGAAGCATTCAGCAGGTAAAGAAGCTCAAGTCACTTTTTATACAGTTGGTGATATGGCTGTCCTGATCACAGGGGCACAGCATCCTGCAGTTTTAGAGGTGTTTACCATTGCAATAATCCCACAAGTTGGGACACTTGCTATTCCCATTGTACTCCTAGGGAACTGAATGTAACTTGCCTGAGGCATAATGTGAAGTCTGGGGCAGAACAGGGAACTGAGCACAAGTCCCTGAAATTCTTGGCAGGCACTCCATGCTCAGGCCATCCCAATGGCCTGTCATATTTGTGAAAACATCTGACAGGGCGTTAGGTGGAGTGTCTAAGATTTTAACTTGCTTGAGCATGCATGGAAGTGCCAGCCATACCTATGTGGGTGAATCTGCTGCAGCAGGATGGATGGGATGCCATTGCATCACAGCCCAATAACATTCTGCAAAACCCTCAGGAAGAGAACCTGGTGCCAGGCACGGGATCGGCAGGCGAACTGTGGGCAGCCAAGGAACCTCTGCACAAGCAGCATCATGCAACACCTGATCCAAAGCCCACAGCAGCCATCATCTCCAACACGCTTTGAACACGCTTGTTCACTCAACACCAGAGGTATTTGAGAGAGATCTATTTTGTGTGTGGTAATGTCCAGCTGGCAAGAGATAACTATTAGACTTTTGCAGTGCCCTGCACACACTCCAAATTAAGCAAACCCTGAGTTTTAAGGCATAAATCATAGCACAGTTTTCTCAGATGAAGCTCTTTTAAAATCCAGCTTCAACAAAGTGCTCAATTTAGGGTGCAGAAGCACTAACCTGAACTTACTAGCAATGCTCCTTGAGACTTTGAGATGCCCCCATTCATTCAGAGATCAGTCAAAACATGATGATGCTCTATCTCTGTATGACTTCCTGTCTTGGGGCTTTGTTTTCTCAGGACAGTGGTGAACATGGGATGAAAATCCTGTGGAAACTGATGGAAAGCATTGAAGCACACTTGGGCTCAGCTCTCCAGAAGCAGGGCACTAAGCACCAGGGTGGGCTTTTGCTTTTTATTTTACAAAGATAAAAACCCTGCCTGGAGTTTGTACAGCTGGGAGAT